CCCGCGTTTTTGGGGGTTTGTGTCAGCTTGGAGCCTGGGACTGCCCTCCTCTGGCAAAGCCTTTCTAAGTAAATTGGTTAACTTCGGCTGATACATTTTGATGAGTCGTTTATTCATTCTGCTGTTAATGATTGAAATAAGCAGGAACATGAAGTGGAATATGTTGAAGGTTATGATGATCTTGAAGAGGAAGATGATATGGAAGATTTTGATGGTCTTGGAATTAGTGACAACGGCTTGGATGATGATACGGGTAAAGTTCTTAATGGTGTGCTCTGCTTTGCTCATCCTATTCCCAGTGTTTCATTAGTGTAATAAATTAATGGCAGCATCATCCTTTGAGTGAGGATGCAATGCACATATTTAACTCAGAATTAAGAGTCCCATAGGTTTACCTAAACACCAGGAACAAACGAGTTTGCATTTGTATTTTCGTAATGTTTAGTTGGCACTCGGACAATATTAGGCTGAAGTTGAAAAAGAAGAGCATTTTAATATGAAAAGAGTACTATCTTGAACAAATTGAAATAGAAGTTGCAAATTTATACCAGTCACATCCTTTTGGTGTATTGGTGCTGATACATCCATTTTATCTCTGGCTGATGCATTTGTTCATGTCCATTGTGGTGAGGAAGTGTCTTTCAAAGCTATAATTGTGAACTAATTGTAAATCCGTGTGACCATGTGGCAGTTGGAATGGACGACGAGGATGATGAAGATGAAGAGGCTGTTGCAGTTCATCAGAAGAGGGGTAGAAAAGATTCTGTTTTAGCTAGAAGAAGAGCAGAGAAAGATGAGCCAAGTGCAAATTCAAAGAAAAAGGCGAAAGTGCTTGTGGAGGTAAAAAAAACATTATATGCTTTTACACAACTTCAATCTTTGTTAAAACCCACCTTTTGTCTTTAATCTCCTATAGGTTGAGCATGAAGATACGGGTGAAAGACGGACAGCAGTACAATGAGAGATTGTATTCTGTAATTCTACAATTATCAAAATGCTTGCTTTAAGCGGCTGCGAAATTCAATTGGTAAGATATGTTTTTCAAAATATGCGCCAGACTTCGCTAGCTAGAATGAAATGGCAAATTTTGTAGTCATTGTAAGCAAAACAGACTTACTAATTTTGATCTTGTAATAGCAAATTTTGTAGTCATTGTTCGTGTTGGAATTGTGCACTAAGGGGTCGTTTGGTACCTGATTACAGGGTAAGTTATTCATGTAGTAGGAGTAACATAACTAATACTCCCTTCGTTCCAATTTATGTGAACCTGTTTGACTGCGCACGGAGTTTAAGAAAAACTGAAGACTTTTACAATTTGTGATCCTAAACAAATCAAAAAGGGGCACAGAGTATTTATGTGGTTATAAAAGCTTCTCATTAAGGGTAGAATTGTAAGTTTAAGCTAAATTGTTACCAAATTTAGAAAGGGTTCATTCTTTTTGGAACGGACAAAAAAGGAAATAGGTTCACATAAACTGGAACAGAGGGAGTACAATGTTTGGTAGCCTTTAGTTACTTTCTACAAAAATAAGCATAACTAATGTCATGTTTGGTTGCTTCTCCATTGGCGGTGTATGTAATATATGGATAAGTTATACAACAAATCTATGTAGTATTATTTATGCAAGGTAGAATGTGGAATAACTAATACATGTAATACATGTATTAAACATTCAAATGATCGAAAAACCCTCATTTATTTTAAATTACACATTGTATATCAGGATAAAGTAAATATTCAACAAAAAATAATTTCTACATTACAATCCATAAATTACTAATCCATGCATTACTAATCTTTATATAACTAATGCCTTCACAGTTAAACTTTGTATAATTAAATCTTGCATGATTAATTCATATATAACTAATCTCAACAATACTAATTGCATAACTCTAGCCAGTAACCAAACGATCCTAAGAGTAGCGTTATTGATCTTGAAGTTGTATTTCTTCGAGTTCGAAACTTTTCTAATGCCTTTTTGGGCACAAAACACGTTTTTACTACTAAAAAAAAAGTTACATAAATAAGTAAAACGCAGTGCTATACTGCAAATTATTTTAACGAATATTTAGCCGTTAAAGTGATTCGCAGTATAGTACTGCGTATTATTAAAAAACTTTTTTTTTAACAAATTTGCAGTAAAATACTGCGAATTACTTAATCGCAGTACTGTACTGCGATTTCCTTATTAATTTGGCCCCACCAATAATTAACTGACATAACAATAATTCAAACACATAAAACGTGGTATTGTACTGCGAATTCCTTAAAAACATTCTGCACCCCAAGCTCGGACTTGCCTTATTTAAAGGCGTTTCAATTTTATGAAAATTCATTCAATACAAACTTCAAACTTCCGTTCATACTTCTCTCTTCTTTTTATCAATCATTTTTGTACAATGTCTGAAGAGCCAAAAATAAGGGTTTCATTATATTGGGGGGAGTGAGGTTGTGCTGGAGAATAACTCTGTGAGGTATAGCTCACCTCCACGGTGTCATGTTAAATTGCCGCTTATTATGGAGTATGATAAATTGGTTTCGTTGTTATGTAAAAAAATGAGTGTGAGGAAGCGTTCGGTTAACCTTAAAATAACCAGTAGCTTTCCGTATTCAGTGACTCCGCAGGGGTTTGCTTATTATTCTGAGTTTAACATCGAGGATGATGAAACTCTTAGAGATTTTTTGCGGATTCCGGATGAATACAGGAAATTTATTGTAATAAAATTATTGAAAATGTACGTCAAGGTGGAAGACGTTCCCAATAATGAGGGCGTGCGTAGTAGGGATAACCCTCAGTCATCGGGTGGTTATTCTGGAGCAGTTTTTGCCAGACAGATTGCTGATGAAAGAGCTTGCCTTGATTTAAACTTGTCACCACCGGCTAATGAGCAGTCACAAAATAATTTTTCGACTTTATATAATCCACCAGACGACTGGTAAACTTCAATCTTACTACGCTTTAGCGATGTTTATTTTATGTTTTAATTGGATTTGTATTAACACTTATATTTTCATAGGGGGTACTGTCCGGATATGAATTTTACAAGTTATGACCCCGTCCCTAGTTGGAATATGCATAGTTCTGGAGTATTGGAGCACGGTGGTCCACCGGGAGTCATCACCAACAAGAAAATATCCATCATGAAACGTCAAGACAGTACGACTTGTAAGTAAAGTGATATAGCTATATCTAAAGTATTTATGTAGTTGGGTAACTTATCATTTTGTTCTTTTTGTGCAGTCAAAACGAGCTTCTTGATGTTCCTGAGCTCACACAGTTGCCCATAGACGACGTATTGACTCGTGATTTGGCTGATGCGCAGAGTCAGGAAGATGATAGTGATTATGACAACAATGCGGATGAGTCTGGGGATGACACACCCTTCCATGATGAGGGTGATGATGAGGAGGAAGTGAATGTTGAACCTGAGCTGACGAGGGAGCATGTTCCTCCACCTCCCGCTAGACAAAGAGTGTACGAGTCCTACGTGCCATTTCATGAGCGGAATATTCCCTACCTTGATAATTTGCCAAGTATGCCGAACGTGGATGCCCTCACAAGGGATGATGACGAAATTCGGTCAGCGATGTGGGATGAGTCTAGACCAGCTGTTCTGACAAAGGGCATGTATTTCCCTGATAAACCTCGCCTAATTAGGGTTGTAAAAATCTACAGTATAAGAGAGTGCCTTGAGATGACGGTATGTGAGTCAACTACGGAGGTATACAAGGCTGTATGTCGTAAGTGGTTTATGGGTTGTCACTGGATGTTGCGTGCCAGCAAGAAGAAATCAGGTTTGTGGAAAGTGGGTAAATTTATTAGCGAGCACAGATGTGAAATGGACACATTCAATGAGAATCACTTCAACTTGGATGTGGACTTGATTTCTCTTGTCTTGATTCCATATTTGGAAGTGTCCATTAGGTTCAAGATTAAAGAGTGTATTACAGCCGTCCACCAGGAGTATGGTTGTATCTTGGTCGCAAACGTGCCTTTGAACTTATTTATGGTGACTGGGATAAGTCTTTTTCAAATCTGCCCAGGTACATGGCTGCACTGCAACACTTTAACCCCGGGAGTATTGTTGAATGAAGGCGTGAGCGGAGTCCGGACAGACCCGAATATATTTTTAACTATGTGTTCTGGTCATTTAAAGCAGCAATTGATGGTTTTGTGCATTGTCGTCCTGGAATTTCCATAAACGATACTCATGTCTATGGAAAGTATGATATTAAGCTTTTGATTGCAGTTGCAGTTGATGCCAACGGACAAATATTTCCACTAGCTTTTGCCATATGTGCCAACGAAAGCGAAGAGACATGGACGCTATTTTTGAACCACTTGAAGCAGCACGTTGTCAAACAGCGTTCAGGTATTTGTCTAATATCTGATCGGCATGGTGGTATTTTAAGTTCTGTACGTCACTTGCCTGAATGGCAGGAACCATATGCATACCACCGTTGCTGTGTGAGGCACCTGAAGGCCAATTTCCAGAAGAAATTTTCTGACAAGGCCTTGCATGACTTAATGTGGATGGCTGCAACTGAGCACCAGCAGTGCAAATTCACGAGGCGCATGGAAGCAATCCGGCAGATAGATCCACGAGCCTATACTTGGTTGATGCGACATGAGCTTCACATGTGGACATTGCATGCTGATGGCGGCAGACGATGGGGAGCCCTCACTACAAACGTGTCAGAGTCCTTCGACGGCTTGTTGAAGTCTGCCCGTGGACTACCTGTCACTGCCATGGTCCGCATGACATTCAAACAGAGTGCAGAGAGGTTTGTTGAAAGGCATGCAGCTGCATCGGCATTGATGGACAGGGGGTTCAATTTATGCCAATGCCCATGAGAAAATTTGAAAGGTCCAGGAGGCGAGCACAGTGGCATTCATTTCTTCAGTATAATCATGAACGGGGTATTTTTGAAGTTAAGACCGCTATCCGCGGACACCGTGGGAATAATCTACAGACGGTGAATGAAAATAGAAGGTTATGTTCATGTGAAAAATGGACCATCTACCACATGCCGTGCGCACATGCGTTGAAGTGCTTTCAACAAGTTGGATATGGGGCAACAAACTATATTGATAGGCAATACAGTGTTGCTGCATACGTAGATACGTATAGTGGAAAGTTGCAGCCATTAGGTGCTGAGCATTATTGGCCGGCGGAACCTTTTAAGATGGTATGTAACAAGGACTATTTGCGCAAGCTGCAAGTGCAAAAGAGAACGCGTATACGGAACCAAATAGATGTTGGTGACACCGTTTATGCGCGTAAATGTGGCATATGCTTGCAAACAGGACACGACCGTCGTAAATGTCCTTCAGGTGGTGTGCGTGGCGGTGGTAATCCGGCTCCTGGTGCAAGTTCGTCGAATGTACCCAACTATCAAGGATACCCCTAGTCTTTTGTTTTGGTATTGTTTTTTGTAATACGTGTTTGTAGTTGTGTATTTTGCAATATATATCAAATAAAATTATGTTCCACAATCTGGAATGAGTGAAGAAAAAGCTGTTTAATTGCAGGAAAATGTAATATGTAAAGCGTGGTTTGATAGTTTCATATAACAGTACAAGCACTTAAACTTAACTTCCACTTCAATTAAAATAAAATTTAGTACAACAAACAAGGAAAACATTACTACAGCACAAACACAAACATAGCAGGCCAACATAATAAAAATACATGAAATATGAAAAATACACTAAACACATAGTAGGGATTGTTTAGTCCCGGTTGCCATTTATTCTCCGCTCCAACCACTTAAATCGTTCTTCCAGTTGTTCTTTTTCTTCTTCTACCTCTTTCAGTTTCGCATTCACCTCTGCAAGTTGCCGTTTATATTTTTTTTATGATCCTTTTGTGCTTGACAATTCCATTGTGCTTTCCATTTTTCTTCTCCCACCTCCTTCAGTTTCGCCCTCAAGTCTGCAATAATTCTATTGCTTTCCATTTCTTGTTCCCGTTGTCTTAAACACACATTAAACAACTTGATTGGGCAAGTGAAAAGTGTGTGTCTCCGGTCGCCACCGCTCTACCAAGGCCGTGATAAGAGACCAATCAAGCTGCATCCGTCCAAGCTCAAAAATCGTATAGAAGCCCGTAGCCTGTAGGCGTGCGACTACACGGGCATGGAAAGGATGCTCCACGATGAACTCCCACAAATCGTCAGGTCTCCTGGG